AACTACTTCCTTGCGCATTTGTCTCCTTCGCTATTGCCGCAACATCTCCACGTAGCTGCTCATGTTCTTCCACCATTAGCTTAAATTTCTCTCCTTTGCATGTATAAATAGATTAGGCTTTGCGGTTTGAGAATCACACCTCTCATCCAACACCAATATTGAATTCTTCTTTCTATCTTTAGTTTCTTCACGTAGACATACATATATATATATATATATATATATATATATATATATATATATATATATATATATTTGTTTTCTTTATTCTCTTTTTAGAGATTAATATATATATGTTATAATTTCCCAAATCAACACTTGTCTTATTTTGTCATTTAGATATTTTCCCCTATTATTTAACTTCTATAATTCTCAATTTTAGATTCTTCGCTTCCGCATTATTCCGCTATATTCCTAACAAGTGGTATCAAAGCCAGGTTTAATTGAGAATTATTTTCAAAGATGTCGACTGTTACTAAGTTAGATATCGAGAAGTTCGACGGGAAAATTAGCTTTTCTATCTGGAAGGTTCAGATGGAAGCCGTTCTAACCCAGAACGGTTTGAAGAAAGCGCTAGCTGGGAAGAAGAAGAAACCGGCTACAATGACAGATGTAGACTGGGAAGATCTGGATGACAAGGCACGTTCAACCATTCTTTTGTGCCTGTCTAAAGAGGTTCTACGTGAGGTATTAAGTGAGACGACTGCGTCAGATTTATGGTCCAAGCTGGATACGCTTTACATGGCCAAAACTCTGGCGAACACGCTACGCCTGAAGGAGCGTCTGTACACAATCCGTATGACGGAATGCACTTCTATTAAATCTCACTTAGATGAATTCAATTCTATTTTATTGGACTTGGAAAATATTGATGTCATAATTGAAGATGAGGATCGTGATGTTTTATTGTTTGTCTCTCTCCCTAATTCATACAAGCATTTCAAAGAAATTATGCTGTATGGTAATAGTAGTGATACCCTTACTTTTGACAATGTTAAGTCAAACCTGTTGTCCAAAGAAAAGTTTGACTTTGAAATTAAGTTTGGGGACAAAGGTGAAGGCTTAATTGTAAGGGGTCGTTCACTTGAAACAGAGAGTAGCAATAAAAAATCTAGATCCAAGTCCAAATGACGTAAGTCCAACAAATCCTGTAAGTACTGCAAGAAGCAGGGTCATGATGTGACTGAATGCTTCAAGTTGAAACACAAGCAAGAGAGAGAAAAGAAGTCTGTTGAAGCTAGTGTTGTTGAAAGTGATTCAGAAGGTGATGCTATGTTATCTGTTAGCTCCGGTGACAAACGGAGTAAAACTGAGTGGATTCTGGACTCAGGTTGTACATTCCACATGTGTCCTCACAAAGACTGGTTCGTCTCTCTGGAACCGGTTGATGGTGGAGTTGTCTTGATGGGTAATGATACCCAATGCAAGGTTAGTGGAATTGGAAGTGTTCAGATTAAAACTCATGATAATGTTGTCAGGACTCTTACCAATGTTCGGTATATTCCTGATTTGAAACGCAATCTGATATCCTTGGGCACCTTGGAATCTCTGGGGTGCAAGTACATAGCTGAAGGTGGAGTTCTGAAAGTCATAAAAGGCTCTCTTGTTCTCATGAAAGCTTCTCGATCTGGAAGCTTGTACGTGTTGCATGGCAGTACCGTGACAGGTTCAGTAGCGGTATCCTCATCGATGTCTGATGCAGATCTCACTCAATTATGGCATATGCGTCTGGGGCATATGAGTGAGAAAGGCATACATCTCCTGAGCAAGAAAGGCCTCCTTGGTGATTCAGGTACGGGTAAATTACAATTTTGTGAGCATTGTGTTTTTGGGAAACAAAAAAGGGTTAGTTTCTCTACTGCTACACACCGTACCAAAGATGTATTGGAATATATACATTCCGATTTATGGGGACCGATTAAATTCCAGTCTATGGGAGGCTGTAGATATTTCATGTCTATTATTGATGACTTTTCCCGTAAGGTTTGGGTCTATTTCTTGAAACACAAAAATCAGGCTTTTCCTATTTTCAAAAAATGGAAAATACTTGTTGAGACTCAGATAGGGAAAAAGGTCAAGAAGCTCAGAACAGACAATGGCTTGGAATTCTGTGAGTCAGATTTCAATGACTTCTGTGCGGCAAATGGAATCGCCAGGCACAAGACCTTGCCTGGTAAACCCCAGCAAAATGGTGTTGCCGAACGTCTAAACAGGACATTATTGGAAAGAGCTCGTTGTATGCTCTCTAATGCTGGGTTATGGAAACGGCGTGATTTTTGGGCCGATGCCGTTTCTACTGCTTGCTATTTGGTGAATAGATCTCCACATTCATCCCTTGACTTCAATATTCCAGAGGAAATTTGGTCAGGTAATCCTGTTGACTACTCTATCTTAAGAGTTTTTGGATGTCCTGCTTATGCTCATTCCAGTACGGGTAAATTAAACCCGAGAGCTGTCAAATGCATTTTCCTTGGTTATGCCTCTGAGTCAAAAGGGTATCGTCTATGGTCTCCTGATTCTCGGAAAATCATTCTGAGTCGAGATATCACTTTTGATGAAAATGCACTACGTTCTTCTGGAAAAGGTCCCAGTACAGATGAGACACAGAGTACTGGTGAGAAGGTCGAGTTTGAGTTCATACCTATTGATAGTATTACTACCACTGATGGTAATACTAAAGATGATGCATCTACTAGCTCCACACCTCTCGTCGAGCCACAACGAGAGTATTCCATTGCTATGGATCGTCCTAGGATGACAATTAAAAAACCTGCTAGGTATGCTAGTGGTGATGAAACCAACATGGTTGCTTATGCTCTTTCAGTCGCATAGGAAGTTGATGGTGATCCATCCTGCTATTCTGAAGTTTTTCCTATTGCTAAGTTCAAATAGTGCTTGAGTTTAGTCGGCTGTTTCGGTTGTTAATTCTTACAGTGGATTTGATCCAAGGTGGAGATTGTTAGGATGTGGCTCAAATCAAATCCATGCATATTGGCTTGTGGACCACGAACTACTTCCTTGCGCATTTGTCTCCTTCGCTATTGCCGCAACATCTCCACGTAGCTGCTCATGTTCTTCCACCATTAGCTTAAATTTCTCTCCTTTGCATGTATAAATAGATTAGGCTTTGTGGTTTGAGAATCACACCTCTCATCCAACACCAATATTGAATTCTTTCTATCTTTAGTTTCTTCACGTAGACATACATATATATTTGTTTTCTTTATTCTCTTTTTAGAGATTAGAGATTAATATATATATGTTATAATTTCCCAAATCAACAATTGTCTTATTTTGTCATTTAGATATTTTCCCCTATTATTTAACTTCTATAATTCTCAATTTTAGATTCTTCGCTTCCACATTATTCCGCTATATTCCTAACAGATCCAAACACTTTCTCGAGAATCGAAGACACCTACTGGACGATAACGACGAAAACAAATGGAGCTACCTGCAAGGAATGTATCAGTGCGAAGAACGGGAAACCCGCCGCGTCGCCGAGCTGACTTTGCCGGAGGTGTCTTTTTTTTTTTTGTTTTTTTAATAATTTTTTTTAAAATTTTAGATAATTACTTGTTGGTAACCTGCTACTATAGGTCATTTGGGACAAATTGCATGATTTTATGGTGTTCCGTGGTCTAATTACACTTTATTTTCGTTCAGTGGCCTAATTGCACTTTCAGGTTACGTTAAGTGGCCAATTTGAACCTTATTCCGTAAATAAATGATGTGTTTTATAGTAAGTAAAATGAGTATACTAGCAAACATGTCCTAATGCACATTCATAATTACATAATTTTTTCCATAACCCATTGAATAGTGAATACACAATCAAACTTTTCCGCCCGTAATTATATAATTTTTTCCTTGAATTTTCAACATTTTATGATCTTAGATATCACGTAGTATGAGTTTAACATGCAAGTTCTTATGAGACTAATTCTCATTTGATCATAATCTCATAGATATCACATATTATGATATATATAATACCTTTTAAATATTATTTATTTAAATTAGGTTGGGCTATCCTAGTTAAAATATGTGTCAAATTCAATTGGACTAAACAATAAAAGTCTTGGTCGGACTTGACTTATATCCCAAAAGATTAAAACATAACTTTTTTTTATTCATTTTCATTAGTTTTGAATTATTGCATTATCAATAGTACCTAATTAAATGTGAGTTGAGTTGGGCTAGATAAAACAATAAAAATTTTAACTCGGCCCACAATAATAATAAAAAAAAACTTTAAAATCATCAACTTTATTTTTCTTCAATTCTTTTATTCTTATAGTTTTCACATTTATAATTATCTGATTAACTATAGGTCAAAATAATAAAAATCTTAACCCCGGGCCACAACCTAAAAAATTTTAAAACTTTAATTTCTTTAATTTAGAATTATTAAATTTATCAATTTATGTATTTATTTTATTATGGTAAGTTGCAAGTTAAAAGTTATATATATAAAGATAGTGGTTTCCTTCTTTTGAAAGACCGTTTCATCAATCAAAATTAACTGAAGCCCAAGAGTTAAGCATTGAAATCTAGGTATAAATTTGAAGTTTTGTTTTTATCAATTTCGGTGTCTGGGTTTGATTCGATTGGGATAAAAATAAGATCTTAGAATTGAGATTTTTCAGTGTCTAAAGAGATAATGACTAATCTTATGATTCAATAAATGTACTTTTAAATATTAGAATTGTTTATAATTTCATTTTTAATTTTATTATTTAAATATATAATAAAAATATTATTGGACGAATAATTAAACAATTATTTGTTTAAATTTAAGCATGATAATATAAGTTTTCAAAAAAAGCATGATAATATAAAATAAAAAAAAAATCAATCAAACACATTTTCATCAAATATAATGAAAAAAATCCTAAAATTTACAGCTCCGTTGCCGCGTTAGCCGCCCAAAAACGACCGCGTCAAACCTGCTTAAAACATCTGTCTTTTTGACTCTTTTTTCAAGTCAAACCCAAACCTAAGCGTAATCAACCGCACCAAAGACCGAGAGTTTGGAGGCAGTTAGTGGTTTCCTTCTTGAGAACAACTGTTTCATCAATCTAAATTAACTGCTGCTCCAAGAGTTAAGCTTTGGAATCTAGGTATAAATGTATTTTGATGGATTTGAGTGTCTGGGTTTGGTTTGAGTGGGGTAAAGATCATTTTGGAATTGGGGTTTTTCCAGCGCCGGCGTAGATAATGACTTTGGGGAAGAAGGGTGAAGGGATAGTGAGGAGGAGGCAGTCTTTTGGGAGGAAAAGGGTGGTGCTGTCAAGTGCTTTACAGATTGATGATTTCATTACCGGCACAGAAACAAGCAAGCATTGCAGGGAGGTTTCATTTCCCAGTTCTGAGAAACCTTCTCTGGAATCCTTGCCTCAAGATGTTCTGGTAAGTTTAGAACTCAATTTGCATCTTATCTATATGACTATGAAGAAGAAGAAGAGCTTTCTTTTACTTTGTTTAGTTTCTTCTGTAATCTGCAGATTAGGATAATTTTCGGGGTTGATCATGATGATTTGAGCAGGCTGTTTCATGTCTCCAAGACCATTCGAGAAGTGGTAAGCCTCATCAATTCTGGGAAATTAAGAATTTTGATTGATTGATTGTTGCATTGGCCCTGACATGGTTTTTTTTTCGTTTTGCACCAGACAATGATCGCTAAGAAATGGCATTTTGAGTATAGTACACCCAGAAAAACCATGGATTCTCAAAACGTTGTTGTTGGTTTCGAGGATTCTATGGATTACAATGAAGTTGAAGCACCAAATGCTCCAAGACAGACAAGAGTTCCAAAGCTTCGGTTAAGCCATAAGAAGTTGTCTGGGATTGCCGTAGCCCTGTTTCCATGAAAGTGCTGTTTTGGATTGTACATGTCACAGAAATTTCCAGAGGCCCTTCTTCTTCAACCTTCTGCTGAAGACTGGCTTGCCTGTAAGAAAAATGATTTGATTTATTAGCCATTCTGGGCTGCATTGGCTCTTCCATTTTCATGTATAGCAATTTTTTTGAGGCAATGAAATAAAAATGCATTTTTTTCATTCACCATAGAAATTATTCCATTTCAAGATAATACTGAGATACTTGCCCATTTCAAGAAAACACTGAAATACTTGAAAGAAACAGTTTCAAGATAATACTGATATACTTGACCATTAATTTACTGGTTGCCTAAAAAGATCAGAAAAAATAAATCACCTTACTTTCTCTGTCTTTGTCTCAACTCTCAAGTTACTCAAATTCGACATCACCTATTATTATGGTAAAAAATTTTAAATAGAAAAATACTATGAGTTTTTTGGCCGGAGGTATCTGAGTTCTCAGCCTTCCAGTACGATAAATTAGGGGTGTAAATGAGCGGAGCCGCTTGCGAGTTGCTCATGAGCGGTTCGGTCAACGCTCGGCTCGAACTCGGTTAAAATCGAGTTCGGCTCGAGCTCGAGCAGCTTGTGGATTAAACGAGCACGAGCCGAGCTTGTGGATTAAACGAGCACGAGCCGAGCTTGTGGATTAAACGAGCACGAGCCGAGCTTGTGGATTAAACGAGCACGAGCCGAGCTTGTGGATTAAACGAGCACGAGCCGAGCTTAGGTATTGTAGGCTCGCCGCTCGACGAGCCGCTCGCGAGCCTTATAATATATTATATAATATATAATATATAATATAATTATATTATATTTAGTATATAAAAATAATAATTAGGGGAGGGAAATTAAAATACTTTAATAATTATGTATGGATAAAAGTCATAAAACAAAGTAGTTTAAATTTTAAATTAAACAAGTCAAATTCGAGATCAAAATTGAGCTCAAATTTGAGCCTAAACTCGAGCTCGAGCAGTGCTATCATTAACGAGCACGAGCATGAGCCTACCCAGGTTCGGGCTCAGCTCGGCTCGTTTACACCCCTACGATAAATAGTTAGAGAGTTAAATGCTATATGGGTTTTAGTTCTATAGTAATTTTTTTTTCATGTTTAGTCTTAAATTTTTAAAGTAATGAGTGATGGTCCTTCAATTTTCAAATTAATTACTTATGATCTTTCAATTTTTAAAATTTAACTCGTCGTACGTAAACCTTTTGAAAGGATCACAGTTGATTAAAATTTTAAAATTGAAAAACCAGAGATGGTTAATTTGAAAGTTGAAGGACCGCAACTAGTTGAAGAATTATTGGTGGTTAATTTAAAAAGTTTAGGATTTAATATGACAAAATCAGAATATTCGAAGGACTCCAGATGTCATTAACTTAATAGTTAAATGTTTAAGTGATATCAAGGGATAAAAGTCACGCTGTCAAAATTGGTTACAAAAAGTAAAGTAACAATTAGCTTACCATGGGTGTTTGGATAACGACTTATCAATCAAATTTTAATTTGTTTGATCAATTTTATTTCACTACTGGAAATTCTGGAATTTGCCACCACTTGAAAATGATCTTAAATTAAGTTGATACCAAAAAGTCTAAAAAGTGGTGGGAAATAGCAACAAAGGTTTTTCCGGATATCAAAAGTGGTCGGAACAAAGCTTTCAACTTGATTTAAGATCACTTTCAGGTGGTCAAAAATTCCATAATTTCTAGTAGTGTTTGTTTAACTTGGTGAAATAACTAAAATGGTTTTTTGGTAAGAGCAATACTATATCAGTGGATGTCCTTCAAAAGTCAAAACCCATCTCAGAGCTTGTTGCTTCATCCTAGCGTTATCACAAGTTCTATACCTAGAGGCCATCCGCTTTGAAGTGTGATTGAGAAAGAATGTTATTTTCTGATATTTCATGAATTGACTCACCACCATGGCACTTTTAAAAAAATAAATAAATATAATTGTGTTATTAACAACTTATGCTAGCTGTTGTTTATTGGTAATTTGCTATTAAAGGATCTCTAGCTCTCAATCACAATTAAGTCATTTTATTACATGTAATAAGATAGAAGTAGTAAATAATTACAAATTTTTTTTTTTAAAAAAAAAACTAATTAATACTAGGCAAATTAAAAACTCGTGTTAGATCGTCTCACAGATCCTTGTCTGTGAGACGGGACGGGTCAAGTCAATATTAAATGTAACAATACTTATATTGCAAAATGTAATACTAATCAAGAATAAAATATTTATTACTTAAATGAAAATTGTAATACTTTTGGAGAAAAATGTAATATTTTTACATTTTTATTTAAATGCATTTGTGGGGATAAATCGGAGCTTGTGAGTGAAGTAGAGAATTATGTGTGATGAATTGATTATTGGCAGTAATTAAACAATAATTTTGTAGTATCTCTTTATACTTTTCTTAATATTTTCAGCCCAAAGAGTCCAAGTCCCACCAGTTTCGAACATATATGACTACACATTTGAAATGTTAAACAGATTTTATCAGACTACATGGTAGTTGGCTAATAATTATGTATAGTACAGTTGGCCCTGCATAATGGAAAGGAGAACATGAATATATAATATCTGTTATCTTAGCTTTCTTTAGTTATTGTTTTAGTATTATTAGAGTATTACTATTCCAATTGAAGAGGAAGTAAATGGAGCTTGCGCCTATTGAAATTAATACGATTAATAAGAGTATAATAGGATGGTATCATCATGATTGCATAGATTTTAATAACAACACAATAATTAATAATGTTAAAGTACAAAAGCGCATGCATTCAGGTAATTGTTCACCGCAACATATGAGTAGAAACTAGAAAGACGAGTACAACTGAGCATATATATATATATATATGCTCCCATATATTGGTTCAATCTAAGATGCATGGGAATACACGAGCGACATGTAAATACTATATACTAATGGATGTATCATGAACAAATTACACTGTAAATATTCAGAGAATGCGGGAGAACATGCATATAAGCGCTTAAGCAGGCAAGCGTTTAAGAACTCATGGCTTCGTTGGCAGTTCTGGTTTTGGAATTTCTGGGAATTCAGGCTTTGGAATTTCAGGGAATTCAGGTTTTGGAATTTCTGGGAATTCAGGCTTTGGTAAAGTTGGTAGCTCAGGTTTTGGAATTTCTGGGAAGGTTGGTATTTCAGGTTTAGGCAATGTAGGGATATGAGGAAAGGGGAGGTCAGGCAAGGTTATTTCCAGGAGGTTTCTGGCCTCGGTTTGAACCATGTTCACCACTGCAGGGGATACAGTGATGAGGAAAAGCAAGAGAAAGGATGGGTTGAGATGATAATGAGGCATTTTTAGCTAGTGATCGAAGAGGTTTTCAGAAGATCAGATGACTTCTATATATGAAGAAATATGTTTGTTTTTTCAGGTTGGATTGTTATGGTCTGGGATTGTATTTGGGCAAGTTTATATAGGAGTGGGAGGGAGGTTGAGAATAGGATGGAAGACGCACTGGGCTTAGTTGGTAGGAAGAAATATGTGTTATTAGTTCATCAACTTATCAACAACTATCTATCACTAATAACAAATATATCTCAATATTTTTCAATACGTTAAAGATACAACAAGAATTTGAGAATAACAAGATTTATCGTGACTTGTGAACAAAGGTAGTTTTATTGCAAACTTTTATTGTGTAGCGAGCAATAAAGGTTTATAGCAAACTTCTACTTTGTCACCAACAACTAAGGTTTTAACCGGCCTGGTATAGACGACGTATAGTAGAGTTCAGGTGAGTCCGAATAATAAAAATTTGTAGAATGACTAGATTAAAAAAATTGAAGCTAAAGATAGACCAAACTTTTATTTTTTGAATTTCCAATCCAATTTGGATAAATCATAAATGTAAAACATCCAAGATGCTGATGTATGATTTTTTTAAATCTTGATTTGAGTAGCAAGTAGCAACTTTAGATTACAAAAATATCAGTCCTATACAAATTATGATTCAACAGGTCTAACCTACTATTTTGGTAATCTTTAGTACATATATTAATTAGTAGACTAACTAAAGATTTGTGTCCGATCCTTTGTTGCTGTACTGTGAGAGACGAATTTTTTTTTTTTTTTTATAAAATCAAAATCACTATTTAGCATTTTTTTTATTTGTTATATAGAATATTATTTTTCATTACAAGCCCAATTGAATTTCATTTGAGATATATATAACCATATCAAAAGTAATTAACATGTTGACAGTTTGGCCGAGTGGTCTAAGGCGCCAGATTTAGGCTCTGGTCCGAAAGGGCGTGGGTTCAAATCCCACAGCTGTCAATTTTTGGTTTTGCACCCTTTCCCCACGGCAATGGTTCAACGAGCATATAGTAAGTCAAATGAATATACTGCGAGGGTTCTACAGTAAGTCAAAATGTGAAATGAATGTTTGCAGCTATATATATTATTGAGATTGAGATTATATTGGCAATGCTGAATATAATGAAAGAGATGACAGCATAGCATGTACTAGTAGTGCCAGTACTTGACGGCGCAGTAGCCGACAGAGATACCCAAGGCCATGAAACATTGAAACCTATGTAAAAGACGGCCACCTCCCTCCATTTTTTGATCATTTCGGCCTTCATGCGGAGACATGATCCAGGTTGTCTGTTTCTGGTACATGAAGTAGCCGCCGAGGGCTAGAATTGGTGACCGTATAACGTCATCAGAAACAATAACAATCGGCTTGTCCAAGGAGCACGAGTGCACGACCACCCTATGAAGCCTATAGCTGAAACTAGGAGGATTAAAACCACGATGCCACCTGTTTGACAAGAAAATGCCCTGACGCGGCGGTGTTTGATTGCCATATCCCACATAGCAATACCGGGATTGTAAACAACAATGTCGTTGTCATCATATATAGCTCGGAAGACTTGCTGCTGGTAACTCTCATCCCCGTTTTGCTTTAGGAAGTCTCGATTTAATTTGCACGTTTAATTAAAACCACATGAAAGAGATTAGAGTGTCTTGAATATGTTAGTTTTATGGTCACACGCCAACACAATCGTAAAACAAAGGAGAAAATATGTGAGAGAGAGAAAGTTGACGGAGTAATTGTAATTAGATAGAATTCAGAATCCGTTACAATGTGTCTCAGGGATATTTATACAGATTGATGTGCATTGGAAAGGAAATAAATAAGAAATTAACAAATTGGGATTTAAGGAAATCTTCCAAACCACCATGCTTCTTTCATAATACGAAAAACGAAATCCTGTGCAAAATTTGATGAAAATCTTCGGGAAATCTCCTTTAAATGCCACTAGGTGTGGCACCCGGTCAGGCCAACTGCCTCCCTGGTCACCGAGTCGGGCTTACCACACCGGTCATACACCTTAGCACGAGGCTAGGCTACTGAATTCCTCCCTCCGGGTAATTAATGTAGTCAAATTGTGAATCCCGATCGCTGAGGTATACTACTGACTGGGTACCCTACTCGGAGGTATCCATCAGAATATATGTAAGAATATGACAAAAGTAATGTTGAATAGGATGAACAAAATTTGAAAATTTTAGTAAATTTATTGTGATTATATATTGTTGAACACACAAATTTAATAAAGTTTGGTTTATTTTTATTGAATTTGTACCTTAAATTTAAGGGTTCATTAGCATATAAACTAGTAAATAAGGTAAATAGCTAAATATGTCTCAATTTGCCTATCGCCCTTGAACAATGTTATGCACTACCTACGCGCAAGGTTAAAATTATACTTTTTTTTTTTTTATGTAAGATATTTTAAGTAATATAATTATAAATGTTGTTGTATTTTATGCAATTTTTGTAGACATTTCAATGAAGGGAAGAAGGACAAATATAGAGATTCTGAGTATTTGACTTGATAAAAAAAATTCCAAATTAAAATTTAGTGGTTTAAATTTAGTTATTGGTTTTAATTACATTCTAAAATTAGTTTAGTATTTCATAAATCTAGAGAAAAGGTAGGTGAAACACGTCATGTACCATTATATTGACACGCCATATATGGTGAAGAACAACTACACTTCACTATTATTTATTAAAAAAACAATTAATATGCCTCATCTTTTTGTTATGATTACAACAACATTGTTGTTTACAATCCCGGTGTTGTTGTGTGGGATATGGCAGTCCAACGCCGTGTGGGGGCGTTTTCTGGACAAGCAGGTGATGGCCATCGTGGTGTTAATTCTGTTGGTTTCAGCCATAGGCTTCATAGGGTCGTGGTCGTCGTCAAACGTCAATGAAAAGAAAAAGGGCAATGAACGAGGATTATATTATCTGTGCAAAGTGTGTGCGTGTGTGTGGAGTGAGAACACAATCAAGTTAGATGGTCGGAGACATATATGGGGATCCTCAACTCCATTGTTGGACTCCTCTAAACCAATGTTTTCTTTTATCCGTCAATGAAAATTGTGATACTCTGAGAACTCCCGGCGCCAATGTTGGTTTGTACAACCTTGATGGCTGCTCGGCAGGCCAACACTACCGAAAAGAAAGTAAAGATCTTTTATGAGATAGTGAAGATAAAGATGAATCAATAAAGAGAGAATAATGTGGTGTTATTTCTCTAGGGTTTGGCCCTCAAAATGCTGACCAAAAGCCCTCTACATGATGATCCCGGGAAGATATTTATACATAGATGCGGAGTTCGCATATGGTAAGTAGGGTTGATGCAAGGCTTATCTAGTGGGGGAATGGGCTGACGTGCTGTCAACTTACTGCCTTTTCCGTCTGAACTAACTAAGGAAGTTGCCTAATGTGCGAAGATTGCTTCCGTAGCATCGGTTCGACGCGTTACTGGGGTGTGCCCGGCCAGGAATGGTCCCGACTGCGCGGAGAGCTTTCCTGAGAGCTTTCCTGGGTACTTGCCCTTAGATAATGACATCCCGTCCGTAGTGCCTGGTCGGCCAGCCAGGCCCCGGGAAAGTGTTCGATCAGAGGCGCGCTGCCTGGCGTAACTGGTCGTCTAACTGTATTTCTTCTGCAAGCCCGCCCGGGGATACGTCGGTCGATGGGTTGGCCGATTAGGAGCGCTCGGAGGCCACTGCAAGGCGCTTAGCATCATGGGTGGGAAGTCCTTGGCGATCTTCCCCCTGCTAAGTAGTGAATCATCTCTAAGTCTGGCTGCCTTGTCTGACCTTCCATCCAAGCGGCAGATTTGGGGCATCTATCAGACATCATCTTCTCTTCTTGAATCGGGGATAAAAAGAAGAAGCAAACACTCATAGTCATCCAAGCCTTAAAGAAGATAGAAGTCTATCTTCTTCTGGGTTTAAAAGAAGGCCTGGTGCAGTCATAAAGAGTGACAGCTAAAAATCCAAAAAAAAAAAAAAAAACAAAGAAATCAAAGGAAAGGAAACAAAGACATCTCGATAGTTTGACAATTAATGTTACTTTAATACGAGATTATAACTAACTTGTAGGTTGAATATGCACTAATTGACATTATTTAACTTTATTTTATAAATCAGGAAATAATGAGGTGAATGTAGTGGAGAAATAAATTAAAGAACTAATGGGTGACTTTTGAAGACTTTATTAATTAAGTTGGCTTTGAAGGAGAGAATAACTCATTTTGTACCATGAGGACACACGAAACTATTATTTCATTATTTAATGATTTATACATCAGTTATAATTCTTATTGGTCATTTTTTAAATAGATAAATCTAAACATCTTTTGGTGTTAAGATGAAATTTTTTTTATGACATCAATATCACTTTGATGCAAAACACACGTTAACATTTTTTGGATTTGTTGTATAGAATACTATTTTTACATTTACATGCCCACTTGAGTATATATATAACCATATCAAAAACCTGACCAATGTGACAGTTTGGCCGAGTGGTCTAAGGCGCCAGATTTAGGCTCTGGTCCGAAAGGGCGTGGGTTCAAATCCCACAGCTGTCATTTTTTGGTTTTCAACCCTTTTCCCATAGCAATGGTTCAACGAGCATAGTAAGTCAAATGAATATACTGCCTGGGTTATTTTAAGCTTTAGCATTCTTTATAATTCTTAGATTACATATGTTGTTTCAGGAAATAAATGATGTGTTTTACAGTAAGTAAAATGAACCTTTGCAGCTATATATATGATTGAGATGAGATTGGCATAGTTAAATGAAAGAGATGACATCATAGCATGTAAATGTAGGTTGGTTGTTGTTCATCTACTCGAAGCCATGATTAAAAACGAAGTTTTTTTTTTCTTCATTTGTTTTTAGTTTATAGTTATTACATTTATAATTGACTGATATAATATGGGTCAGGTTGAGTCAAGCAAAACAATAAAAATAACCTAACTTG